TTCCTTCCTAAATAGTAGACTGATGAATGTCAATAACTAAGAAACCCAGATTTTTTTAAAAAAACTACCCTGTTAACTCCTTTAAACCACAAAACAACACCAAATGTTCATTGTTTTTGAATTCATTAAAACTTTTTACATGAGTAATGTTTGTTTGTTTATTTTAAGGAGAACTTAACGGAATTGAGTCCGATGCTTTGATGTGAGAAAAATAAATTAATCAATGAAATGACTCAGTTTCTTTGATTAATACTCGTATATAATATAATACTAAGTTATGAAGGTTATTTATGGTATTACACATGCACACATAAAGATAAGCATGTGTAAAATGTACTTGAATGAACATGTTTATAGATTCTGTAGAACATGATAAGACAAAATAACTAGTTCTAATGACAGAATTCCTAAAATTAATAAAGTGATGGTTGTCAAATTGGTATATAAAAGTTAAATAGACTTGTGTCCGAGGGAGACGATTAACTCACTTAATCGATTAGTTTATAAATCAATGTACAAAGAAAAGTGGTAATATGAAGGCGTATGTTTAAAATGAAGTGTAGAGTATATGAAAACCAATTTTATGCTTTAAGCATTAGTAGGAATAACATGGATGGGACAAGAATGTTGAGTTACAAGTTACTGCTGTACCATCTTCATATGAATTTTAATGCTGTCTAGAATTACGAATAGATTGCAGAAAAAGCTAAGGGTGAACAGAAAACATGATTGTCAATTAACATGGAGATTTAATGTTGGTTATGTAAGCTTTAGGCTGGTTTTACTACCAGAGTAGTTGAAATCATCGTCACCACCTATTGACTGATGACTTTTGAATTTAAAAAAAAGTACACTACCGGATCCAATTACTACTAATCAATGTTGAAGGGTGTCGCAGAAAATAAATGTAATTAAAATTAATTCTGCAACGAAACAATAAAATCATTACAAATAAACAATTTTATCATAATAAACCTAACAACTGAGTAAGAATATGGACTAAGAACTGTTCAGAATACAAATTAGATCAGTCAACATATAAACGCATGTTGAATACAGGAAAATAAGGTGAAACAACAAATCGGATCCAACTTAATCAGTTGATTTAAAGAAAAAATTGCTACCATCGCTGCTGTATTCAATATTTAAAATAAAATTTAAAGTCAAGTGAGGCAGTAATGATCCCTAAGATAAAATCTTATTTGCTTAAAATAATAATGCTGGTAATGAGAGTGGTAGTAATAACAATAAAACAAAGAATGACCTCCCATTTTATTTTAGTGTGGCGTAGAAAATACTATTTCCAAGGGGTACGAAGATCCAAGTACGCGTGCACGCGTGTGTGTGTGTGTGTTTGAAAGAGGAACAATCTCTCATCACAATTCTAGTTTACTGTCTAATTAGTTTTTTATTAACGAACAAAGACAAATAGCATAAAAAAGAAAAGAAACTTGAAATTCATTTTTGTATTGGTTGTTTGGATCTTCCCATTGATGTTTAGCACTGAAATTGATCAGTCTCTTATTGGGATATGTGCACCCTGTGCGGACTGCCTCTCTGTTGCCTTAAGTCACAAACATTATAAACAGAGATAATTTAAATGTAACAAAAAAGCATAAATAAGGGTTTAAAAACGGGTGTTGGGGCGAATATATATATATATATATATATATATATATATATATAAGCTGAAAATACAGTCAGTTTCTTTTGGATGAATGAATCATGAAATAGAAAAGCTTGAGTTTATCAACTAGCAGAATAAGCAAGAACTATCCACGTTAAAAAAAAGAATCCCCATGCGTATTAGACACACAGATACACACAAACATAGAAATCATTAGAAAAATCATTTTCTACTACTCTATCAAACAGTTTTCGAAAGAGATTATATGAGGATTGATGGATCCGATTTGACGTAAAAAGACAGTATGTGAGAAAGAGAAAGCCCACTTAGGAAATACCATTAATAAGAAATCCATAACCTTAATGGTTTTTACACTCTCTCCTCTGAATCAAGTTTGATTCGTATTGTGGTGAAATGTGATGAAGAAAATTACCATAACTACGTTATACAGATGGATAACAAAGCAGATGTTAGTTGGCACGATGTTTATTGAGTAGGAATATGATGCATAGTATTAACAGGTAAAAGTTGTTACATTTCAATAGTCCACCGACACTATCATCATCGTCCATTTTATTTGAATACAACGAATGAAAATTAAGATTTTCCCCAATAATTCATCGTATATGTCATAAATAATGTTTTCAAGATCCTATAAAGAAATAAGTCTTGGTGTTTAAATATTCATCCTAGGATAATTAAATGTACAATATTTTAAGAAACGTAATGAATGTAATTAGCAGCATATAAAAAGCTGTTCATTGTCAGTTTGAATAAAAAATTAAAGAGGTAAATATTCAACTGAACTCTTTAAATAAACATCAGATACACTGATTTAATCCAATGAGTTATTCGAAATTCGATTAAATAAAACAAGCTCTGATTGTGAGAACAAGGTGGAAGGAGATAATAATAATATCATGGGTCGGTTGAAGTTAGACATTAACACTATTGGATGTCGATTGACTCAGTGGTCTAGAGGTTAAGTATTTGCGCGCGAGACTGAAAGTCCTGGGTTCAAGTCCCGTGGACGGGATCGTGGATGAGCACTGCTGAGGAGTCCCACATTAGAACGAAAAGGACATTCCGTGCTTCCAGGTTTGCAATAATAGTCCAACACCAATTTATTCATGATCTCAATTAAACACAACACTGTTTTTGTATGATTTTGATTCCTCCACTATGCATTATGTTGACTTCATCTTTTTGTTTTAATGTGACAAAGTGGATCAATGTATCCATGCCCCGAGCTTTCTCTATATTGATCATGACCGAGTGAAGTCACTTTCTCACTTAAGAACAGTTTTAAGTCATTTTTAATAATTTATGAATTTAATCTATATTTTATAGACATTTTCACTTTTAAGAAATAGCTTGCCAAATAGGTTAAATAGATATATTTTAATAAACAACTTATATTATATGCATCAATGCATTCGTTTACTTGGTTACAAAAATAACTGACGTTATATCCTCCAGACGGAATTTTTTCACCGAGAAAAAAAAGTGTCACCATTTCCCTTTTGTGTTCTTTTTTTGTGTGAATAGTTAACTGGAAAATAACATGACGAGTATCACATCATATGATGACGAAACTATGAAAAGTTCGTCAAAAATAAGCATTGAATTCATCATGTATTTAATATAATAATCCATCTACGCTTTTTTTTCCCCTATACGTAAGTAATGAGTTAACTATTCGAAATACATGCGCACACATGATTAGAAAAAATCCAATCATACATGACGTCAAACATTCATAAAACCATTGAAGTGTATTCACAGTCATCCTTTGTATATTTTTAAAAGAGAAAAAGAAACATTTGTATCACATTGTGGTTATTGAGTCCATTCTAATTGAGACAAACATAAACATAAATATACAAACACTTGTTTCATTAAAAAACCTGTATTTCAATAACAGGATTAATTAACTGAACATCAAATTGATGATGAGGTTACTTGGTAAATATTTTGCTATTAAGTCAACCGATAAAGGTCAGGGGTATGATGAGAATCGGCCTGTGTATACATATTTCATATTAGTGTATCACAGAGAATTGATGAAACAATACTCATAACCTTAAGTAATGATATAGACAAACGGAAGGAGTGCATTTAAGGAAAAAAGAAGATAATGAAGAGTATTCGAGTAAAAAAAAAGTGCTAAGCTCCAAGTTATATCAATCAAAGCACAAAATTATGGATTACAATTGATTTACCTAATCCAGTTAGAAGTTTTGTACAGAAGTACATTTACTCAACTTTGCATAAGGGATTCGCCTGTAAATAAATCCTAGTCAATTCTATTTGAATCAACGGCTACTTAAAAAGAAAATATTGACTGGAATGTAAATTACCACACGAAGTTAACACTAACCCTCGCTATAGTGATTAGATTGATCGAAAATAAAGTGGGTTTTTTTTTTCTGGATCTAAATAATATATTAAAAACCAAAGTAACAAGGTCGAAATAACATTAGGTTAAAGGAAAAACCCTATAATGAGTAAACAATCAAAGTAGAATCTTGGTGATAATCAGATGATCTGAGAATGTCTCATGATGGTATTAGGCAAATATATATCACACAAACGTGACTTAATGATAAGTTAGGAAGAAATGACACAAAAACTATGTAACATGTTAAAAGCAAAAAGTTGGCTCTATGAAAAATGTCCCATTTTACCTAAACATATAATATTTGTGTATCTCTGAACCCCCCAATCGACAAACCTGAGACCTTAAGAACTGTGAAGTAGTCATGGATATTATTCAAAATTGAATTTGTGTATATTGCTTACAAATACTAACTAATAGTAAAAAACGTAGCAGTTTTTAATGAGATACTGGCTAAACTGAATGATAAGAAGTATTCATTTAAGAAAAAGGTAAGTACTTAACATTTATTTCGTCCTTCGAAATGTTTATTTAAATGTCATCTAAATAACGATTATATGTCATGATCCAGCAACAAGTTTGAGAAAAATAAAACTATGTTACGCAATTCTCATACAATAACTACAGTAATTACGTAGAAAACGTTCATAAATTTACATCATAGTGACAAACTTATAAAGTTGGGTAAAATTAAAGTATGAAAACGAACCAATCATATTTCAGATAGTGACACTGGAATATGTGCTAAATTCACTCAATCATAAGGTTACATAAAGTGCTTGCATCATAATTTAATGCCAGTTCATGATAAATAAAACTTAAACCCTAACTCCATTTTGAACTGAATAATTGAGATTTCATGGGATCACTATTAGAGTCATTCAAAATTGAAAGAAAAATAATTGTGAAATGTATTTATTATAGAACTAAATTATACTAAGGAATATAATATATGTTGAGTATATTTGAACTCACTTTGCTCTGCTTTATATGTATTTGCTCTCCAAATAAATGAACATATCAATATTACAATTATCCAATCTTTACATAGAATATACATGATGTTAAGTTGTCATGTTTTTAAACAAATAAAATCAATCTAATGTAGAATTTTAATAAGTTCCTAGTGTATATTCATCATAAGTATTGGATGATAATCATTATCCACTAAGCAAATTTACACTCATATCATATTAAGGATCCATATAAAGTCAAATAATCATGCTTTGTGTAACGGGAATTTTTCTCTTTATGTTCAAAATCATATTTGTTCATTGAATTCATTCAAAATTTTCAAATTTTCTAACCAATCAAATGATTAGATTCATCGTACAAGGTCATTCATCATCAAATGAGTGGGTGTATAATAAATTCCATTAATTTAATTGGTTATTATAATAATTAATGAAACAACGGAATCTATTCGTCTAAAATTCAATAACTATGGTTGGAAAGTGCTGGTGGGCGGCCTACACTCCTCAACTAGGGGTAATGGGCATATGTATGTAATTAAATACTAGACAGATGGCATTGTTTACGTGTTTAAATCTCTTGATCCATTATAAACCTATAGACTAAACATCTGTTCATGGGGATGGTATTAACTAGATCATAAAAAGAGACCATTTTGATAAATGACCTTTTTAAAATTAGTCTATTTGTTGTAATAAAGGACAGTTAAAATCTTTTTTTTTTAAAAATATTAATTTGAGGGTTCAGTTATTTTTATTTTAACCCTAATCCATGTCAACCCTCATGTTGTATTCAGTGTTGTGATGATTAAGTTAAAATCTTTTAAAGTGTTTATTTAAAAGTGATGGAGATTAATCTCTATTGAATAACCTGTAATTTTCAAATACAAACAATTTGTCAATTCTAGCATATTACCTATTATTCTTTACTGTTCTTCATTATTCTTTCCCCAGACTTTTGAGAAAAGACTTTGCTGTATTGTAGAGAGTGCTGAAGGCAGTTAACAAGATGTGTGGTGAATCTTTTGAGGTCATAATTAATATGGTTGTAGATAGACATTTAAAGTCATGCAAACTCTTGGCAGGTGTTATTTTGTCAGATACTAGCCATCCCTTTCACTCTTATCTTTCTCCTTGTATATCTTCTAGTAGAACGAGACATAATTATATTAAAATCTATGCATGAAAGCAAAAGTATAAAAGTTCTATAATAACTTACCTGGCAAATATACTCTGTGACGAATAGGTTGTTAGAGTTAACCTAGTCAATAACCTGCATCCTTGACATGTCTCTAATTTGAAAAGTTGTACAGCTTCTCAGATTTTTTTAAAAACCTTTTTTTCTCTTTTTTTGTGTAAGTAACTTGTTGAAATATCCTGTGCTGAGAATTTCTAAATCGTACCAAAATATAATATTGAATAAAGCCAATAATAATAATAATAATAATAATAATAATAATAATAATAATAATAATAATAATAATAATAATAATAATTTCACTCTCAGACAGTCAAGCAAGTGGAGTTAAGTTCATAGGCTACTAGTTAATATTTACGAATAAATCACATGTTATTTCAACTTCAACCAACAGGTTTATTTTCTTGGAATCTCAAAAATCTAATTATAGTAACGGTTTTTCGTTAACTTCTAGTGATAAAAATGTTATATCCTAGTGAAGATTACATTACGAGTAACGTCTGAGATTTATTAATGGACTATTATTATTTATATATTCTCATGGTATAAATATTCGGTAACTAGATTATTATGTATATCTACATTCCCCTTGTTATAAGCTTTATTTTGACCTATAATATATTATTGTACGATTTACGGTTCTTAAGCTATGTTCAGTTTATTAACTACTGTCTCCCATGTTCACAGCCACTTTTTGGCTTTATTGTGTACAAATGTTAGTTCCTATTTTATAGTGCGTTGCAGTCTGTTTGTTTGATATATAAACACAGTATGTTTGAAATATATGATTCGCATAGTGGAATCTGGTATTGGTGTTCTGGACCCAAGTCGACGGGCTAGGCGGACATAGGACCAATAAAGACGCTAGGGTGATCATACCGGTCGAATGTGATTGGTTTGGCACAGTGGTAAGATTGTATAAGTCGTATTTTGATTGATGGATAAATCACTTGACAAAAAGCTGGACATAAAGTCACAACCATCCCCTTCACTCTTATCTTTCTCCTTGTATATCTTCTGGTAGAACGAGACGTAATAACATTAAAATCTATACAAGCAAAAAAAGTATAAAAGTTCTATAATACCTTACCTAGCAAATATACTCTGTGACGAACAGGTTGTTACAGTTAGCCTAGTCAATAACTTGCATTCTTAACATATCTCTGATTTTAAAAGTTGTACAGTTTTCCGGGGTTTCTTAAATCTTTTTTGTCTCTGTTACTGTTTTTTTGCGTAAGTAACTTGTTGAAATACTCGGTGCTGAGAATTCTATATTGTACCAAAACTATAATATTGAATAAAGCCATTAATAATAATAATAATAATAATAATAATAATAATAATAATAATAATAATAATAATAATAATAAGAGAATAAACAAACAAATTTGTAGCTTAATGATTGTTAATATAATAACAACCGCTCAGTCATAAATATTTTAATCCAATCAACTAAGCATTTTCAAATCAAAATTTGTCTTCAACTTCTCGTTATCTATAGTACACATTAGTTCCTTCAGAATTACAAATAAACTCCAATGACAAGTTATAACTGTCAGTCAGCTTAAATTAAACAGGAATTCTTGATAATCACTTTTAGCCATCAAATAAAGCTTAATGTTTATCTAGATAATCAAAGAAGATTTTAACTCAATAATTTAGAGAGTTAAATTCATACAAAGGGAGACTTCAAAATCTTTTATTCTATCAAGCATATAGGCGTTGTCAGTAAGTAGTTTCGAAGGGCCCCATACTGACTATTCATCGGAATGAATGATTTCTTTTGGTATTAAACTATTTTCAGCATCTTGATGTCTACTGAAGAATTTTCCAAAGAATTATTGAAAGTTCCCGGAATTTTTAGATTGTGGAATCAAAATAATCTTTTTGTAGATTATCAGTTGAACAACAGAATTGATGATGAGATTTTGATGTGATAAGTTTTTTCATACTGATTTTTTCCTCATGAATAACAACTTCTCCCTTTGGCATTGAAAATCTTACATAAATTTGAGAAGACAAAACCACCGACCAAATGATTGAATATTTGATAATATTTATATTACGAAATGTCTAACTAACATGGTATGCCCGTAATTTATGTATTTTCTTCACCAGGGTGCGCCAGAGCTCTTGGCATTTATGTGTTTGCACTAAGAGATTGTTCTGTATCACTCAGGTTGTAAAAAACATGAACAGTGTCTAGAATTCCGAAAATCAATGCAAGAATTATTATCTTGCAGGATAGATTAATATGTCGAATACAAAGTAATAAATCAATGATAAGAATAATTGTTGATTAATTATTATCAGCCAATAACCATTTACTGTACTACTTATTGTAACATTATGTCATTTAATGTTACACAGGTAGATTGATTTTAGTGCTCGCGCGAGACCACTAGGTCTCGGGTTCGAATCATGTGAGGCGGGGTCGTGGATGCGCACTGCTGAGGAGTCCCACAATAGGATGAAACGGCCGTCCAGTGCTTCCAGGTTTTCCATGGTGTTCTAGCTTCAATTGACTCATGATCTCAATAATTGGAATTAAATGAATTTAGTTGATAACAATTACACTAAGAACTCTGGCTAGGCGTGTTGGCACTAACTATTTCACAAACCAAAGAGACTTCTCTTACATTTCAGTACTCGTATTGATAAAGCGTACATATTAAACATGTCAGCAATATGGATAACCTGTCTTAAGAAGGGTTATCCAAATTGAATAAAGACTGATCAATTATTTTCTAACTACATAAAAACAAACATTACAATAAATTTTCAAGTTTTAGATTGATTTACATAGATTAATTATGTTTGTTTCATATTTAATGTGCTTAGGAGCTTTTATCAACTAAAAAAAACTAATTACAAAAGGTATTCAAGTTGAACTACCACAGTTTTTTGGCATATCTTCTTTTCCGATTTTTTTGTTTGTTTCATCTTTCGTAAAAATGAGAAGTGATTACCATAACATGTATACGTGGAATATATTCAATAACGAAAAAGAGAAAGATATTGTACATTCAAAACTGGTAGGAAATGTTTGTATCTAGAAAATGTACACCATCTAATCACCATTGAAAAAGCTTTATATTACATAAATACTGATCGTTTTCACAAGTAAAATAAACCGAAGAAAGAAATTACTTACAAGATTATTTCCTTGAAAAAGCTTGGACCAAATTGTGAGGCGGAACGTTGGGCTTACTACAAATTCTTTCACTGAGATTTTACAAATACAGTCTTCCTTTTTAATTATTACAAGATTTCACTGGTTGAAATCATGAGTCAATTGAAGCTAGAACACCATGGAAAACCTGGAAGTACTGGAAGGCCGTTTCGTCCTAGTATGGGACCCATCCACCACCCCGCCCCCTGCGTGATTCGAACCCAGGACCTACTGGCTTCGCGCGAGCATTTAACAATTAGACCACTGAGCCGACATCCAACGGTGTTAATGTCTAACTTCAACCAATCCACGAAGTTGTGCCACCGTACACCATTGTCTTCAGTGAGTTGATATCTCACAACCGACCTGGTTGAACTCCACGGGTAACGACTTCTCACTAGAACTCCAGGAGTATCTCTTGAAGTCAGTCACTAGTGAGCAGATGATTATTATCAGAAGGGGTTTTTGTGGACATTATAGTAATTTCAATGGTTGAAATCATAAGTCAATTGAAGTTAGACCATCATGGAATGCATGGAAGCATTGGATGGCCGTTTCATCCTATTGTTTTCAAAATCCTTTACAATAACATTATGAATAGTACTGAATAGAATGTGATTATTGTTATTATCATTCTGAAATTGTATTTTTTATTTACTTATCTAAAGTGATTATACTTTCCACTGATTTAGTTAGATTTCCACTTGATCCTTACATTGAAAACTATATTTTTTTCATATTTGTTTCAAGTGTAATTCAACTATTTGAAAAAAATCAAATATGAGAGTTCTCATGTGGTACTTTTGTTCAGATAAACTGATGAAACGTAATAATAATAATGACGGTTAAAAAGAGAACAACTGAGGACTTAACTAGTTCATTTAAGTGGATATTCGTGTTTATTATTGCATAATTTGAAGAAAAAATACATTTGGAACAGTC